TTTTTAACACCCCAGAGTACCCTGGTTTAACCTTGATTATTACTGCCCTGCCCATTGCAGCATTAGGGCATTTTGAACTCATGAAAGTTCAAATTCAGGACTGCCCTGGACTGGACCTTTTTAGTCATTTTTGCAATGCAAACAAACTCATTCCAGACGATGCCGGGCATTCAGTCAGTGACAAGGTTCGATTAGTCATGTGAAATTATTAGCTCATTTGATTCATTAGTCGTAGAAAACTAATCGACGACGTTTATCGAGTCGACTATACTAAATATAACAGGTAATAATCAGTCGCGCATATAAGCAACACGTACAAGGTCCCTAATGTCTTAAAACATTTTTGTTCAATTACTGGGAACCTATATGAGTTAACTTATTTGACGATTAATCTAATCGACGAGCATGTATATCACAGAGTACATTCAGAACAACACATAGAAAATCAACCGACCAAATAAAAGGTCTTTGCTAGAGATGGAAGAAGACAGGAAAAATAACAAATAATCACAACCAATCATGCTGACAACTCAATCAAAACTAAAAAGGAGAGATNACGACTAAAACCTCCTCAAAATACGACTAAAACCTAAACTACTGGGAAGAGGACTGGAAATTACACCTCCTCATCTTCTTTCAGATGTAATAGAACCCAGAAAAAAAAATAAAAAAAAACCTTGACAATCTTAATACAATTTGATCATAGAGAATTGGAAAAGTCATCACGAATAACGAAAAGTTGTATTAATTAGTGAATCAAAGTATTGGAGACCGAAATATTAAATACAACTCAACCACCTCTAGACTCTTCCGATGAAAACAAAAGGGAAAGAACAATGTTAAAGCGGGGATTCGAACCTACGTGTGTGAGTATGAACGGGAAAGAAATTGGAGATTTGATCAACCAGCAGGTCTATGGGCATTTCTGGTTGGATTCAATATTAGAAATAGTTTTATTAGTGAGTTGATAAAAATAGAGAATAATTTATTAGTGGTTGTATTCAATATTACAAATACATCTCTTTGTTGAGTGCTATAGTTGACTAGTTGTTATACATAAATATAAATATGTGCTTTACTACTGTAGTTTTTTTTTTTTGCTGTTGAAACTTATTTGTGAATCTAGGTGAACATGAACTTTTATCAGTAATAAATATTGTTGAGTACTGTCATTAGCCAAATTATTCAACAGAATCACAAAACAATACCTATGAAGATAACTACGCTTTGTCCTTATTGTATTCTCTAGTCATCTATATGAAGACAATTATATTAAGCTAAATTATCCACAACTCCAGTATTAGCATTTAATATTACAAATACCTCTCTTTGTTAGAATATAACGTAACTAATCCAAAATCGTGGGGAGAGATAGCAACAATCATGTAGTAGCTAATATGCCATTACAAACACTATATGTAACGACCCGACCGATCGTTTTGAGTTCTAGCACATCGTTCAGCAGTTTGAGGCCGTAAGCAGCTTCACTTCAGGTATTATGACTTGTATGCATCGTCAGAATTGAATTTCGGGAAGTTCGGAGTTGATTTGGAAAGAGAATTCTCATTTCGGAAGCTTTAAGTTGGAAGAATTGACTAAGGTTGGATTTTTGAGTAAACAACCTCGGAATCGGGATTCGAAGGTTCCAGTAGGTTCGTATGATGATTTCGGACTTGGGCGTATATCCGGACTGGGTTTGGAAGACCCGGGAACGTTTCGACGCCTATTGTGAAAGTTAGCATTTTTGGAAGAATCTCATAAGTTTGGATTGAAGTGCATTTCAGGGTTATCAATGTCCGTTTGAGATTCCGAGTCTGGGAATAGCTCTGTATGGTGATTCTGGAATTGGGAGCACGATCGGAAGTGAATTCGAAGGTCCGTAGGTCATTTTGGAGTCATTTGGCTAAAAATAGAAATTTGAAGGTTTTTAAGAAGTTTGACCAGAAGTGGACTTTTTGATATCAGGGTCGGATTCTGATTCCGAAAGTTGGAGTAGGTCTGTAATGTCGAATATGAATTATGTGCAAAATTTGAGGTCAATCGGACGTGATTTGATATGTTTTGGCATCGAATGAAGAAGTTTGAAATTCTAAAGTTCATTAAGCTTGGATTGGAGGTCGATTCATGATTTTAGCGATGTTGGATATGATTTGAGGCCTCAAGCAAGTCCGTAATATATTTTGGGACTGGTTGGTATGATTGGTTGGGGTCCCGGGGGCCTCGGGTGGATTCCGGGTGGTTAACGGATCGAAAATGAAATTTTGGAAAAGACTGAAGTTGTTGGTTGCTGGTGTAACCGCACCTGCGAGACAAGGGCCGCAGGTGCGAAGCCGCAGAAGTGGCCTTCGCGCCGCAGAAGCGGAAATGGACGGCTAGGCTGGGACCGCAGATGCGGTCGTTTTGATTGATGCCAACAAATGAAGCACATGGCATATTATATCGATTCACAAGGTACGTCGTATCAAAGCATATCACATCATGGAATTTCTCATACGCTGCCTTACAGTGTGAATGCACCCATACCACATTTCGTAGCCTACCAATATTATCAACGTCGATTGAATAGAAAAACTCCCCATCTTTTACCTGGATTTCATGAAAAAAGTTGAGCAGCGACTGTGTGTCCCCTTCTTGCATTTCAAAATTCCCACTCTTCAAAATATAATTTTTACAATCCTTTGGAGTGCAACCCAAATTTTGCGGTCCACCACGTTGAACCTCAGTAAGTCTAATATTCTTGGAGGGTCTAATGCCAGATCGATCGTAAGCTACAAGATCCCTCTTCAAAGAATCACAAACAAACCTATGTCCAGCCATCAGCCGTGATACGGATGGGAGAAAATCATGATTGTGATCGTGAACAACCTTAGAGACGCGCCAACAACCAGAATCATCCAAAATAGCAGCTAGCCTAGCTTTACAATAGTTACTCTTGGTGGTAAACTTGATTTTGCGAATCCTAGTCCTATCACAACAGTAGGTTATATACCTAGCAGTGTCACCACCCTTCTGATTTAAATTTCTTTTGAAGACGGAGAATCCTCTCAGTCGTGCATGTTCTTTGTAGAATGCAAACAAAGTATCTTTATCTCTAAATCGCATTCCAGAGATTGAACCTACAACCACATCCTCTTCAGTGAATTCATTCTCCATTTCCCGATCAACATCACAAAACTCTAACTCATTTCCTAAAACCTGCTCCTCATCATCGTTAGCTTCTCCGTGATATTCTCCATCGGCTTCTTCATCATCACCATCATCATCTAAGTGCACAGCTTGTTGAAACTGCCGTGAGAATCAACATCGATCCATTCGTATTCATTCAACAAACTCTCGTCCGATGCCATCCCTAAAGATCTGTACAACTCGTCCCAAACTCGATCAAACCTATTATCTTGGTTAATATTCATGGTTGTTGTATTCGTGTTATGTTCATTTGGATTCATATTTTGTTGTACCACCAAATTTTCTTGGTTTGAATCCATTTTTAGAGAAGGAGAAAGTGTCCGCTGGTTTAGGGATAGGCAAGGAGGAAAATGTCCGCTGGTTTAGGGTTTGATAAGGAGGAAGTATACAAAATCGTATACCGTATTTGTTTTTAAGAAAGGAAGAAAATACAATAATTTGTTAAAAATTTTAAAACGTATAATTTGTATAAAATACACATAAATACAAGGGAAATACACAAGACACTTCATCTCCCAACATTTAATTTTCGCATACTTCAAGACTTGGAATTTAATTATATATTTTGGAGGAAAAAATGTAGGCTAATTAGTTAGAGGGTCATTTATGTATTTTCACTGGTGTGGCCAAAGTTGGGTCACACCAGTGTGGTCGTTTAGCATCTTCCTTTCTCTTACTGGTGATACTAATTGACAATCAAATGGTACTATTTCATCGATTTTCTACAGTTCGATCGACTCGTCCACTCGTGTTACTGTTTCATTGACTGCCCCGCTTCCGAGCTGCAATTTTAGAATTAAACCTCCTTTTAATTAGCTATCCTTCTTCCTTTGGTGAATTGAACATAATGCAATGGTTTTATGTGCCATAATTGCCTTCTTCGAGGGATTTCGAGCTCTCTTTCCCATGGCGGCACACGTTATGCTTACATGCAGTGAGAGAGAATGGGTTCCTCTGTATTGTGAATTTTGCGTACTTAAGGGGCAATTTTAGTTCTTTTTCATTTTTAGTATGAATGAAGAATATAATGAACAAATTGGATAAGCAAAATAACAAAATTATTAAATGGCAAATCGATCAGGTTAAAAAATATTATCCTAGCTGATGATTAAGTTGAAGAATTTTACAAAAAACCAAAATAAGGAAGTTGAGGATAATGTCTCAAGCTACAAAAGAGGTTCATATTATAAAGGCAATATATAGGGAGATTGATAAAAATTCTCCCATTATAAAGTAACTAGGCTTGTGCATTCAATCTATTCGATAAGTTCTTGGTTAATTCTGTTTCATTTAGTTTGTAATTTTTTAATAGAGAAACCGATCGCCAACACTGAAACATGTTCAGTTTGGAATCAGTTTTTGATCATTCACCTCAGCTTTCTAATTGAGCCTCTTTTATAATTTTAATTGATCGCAAATTTCCTCTAATAATAAAAGTAACTAGGCATGTGAATTTACTCGGTTCAATAGGTTTTTGGTTAACGTGGATAGGTTAATTTGATTTACAGTAGTAATTTAAATCGACTAATAGATCACCAAACTGAACGTTCTTTTGTTTGTTAAATTAGACAGATTAACTTGGTTTCTTCAAGTTACAAAGTCAATGTATCCTAAATTTATTGAAATTACTCGCCAAATTTCATAGCAATCAAAAATTAAAATTTTCAAAATTTAAAGGATATATTTTTCAAAGTGGATTTTTGGCTAAAAGTTTTGTTAAAGGAATAAATAAAAAGAATTTAATACTTTTTCCAGTTTCTTTTTTTAATATTTTCAGTTTTTTCCTTAAACCTAAGTATCGTCAGGATTTGAGAAATCAATAATTTGATTTGGTAAATTTATATTTTCTTTTGCAGTAAATTAATTTTTACCCAAAGAAAATTACTAAGGGACCAAATAAGAGTCACGTAACAGGTAAATTGAAGCTCTAGTTTAGGTCAACTTCAGTTATCGTTCAAAAAATCTTAAATCATAAAATACAATAAGCTCAAGAGGAAAACATGAAATTAATAAGTATATTAGAATTTCAAAAGGTGATTGTTTCTCTAATTTCTTTTGATTTGACAGAAGATAAAAAAGGAGTTAGATTTTTTATTATTGATTAGCTACAAAAGCTTTCTCAACACGTGCCATTTTTATACAAAAAAGAGATCAAATTTACTCTTGAACTATATAAAATGGACTAAATGTGCCATTGAACTTAAAAGAAAGGGATCACTATCCTCACAAAGTAACACTATCTTCTTTAACATTTAGAACCTCAATTAGCTAAGTCAATATTGCCCTAACTCAAATTAAATATTCTCAACCCTCAAATCAGCCCAAATGAATACTCAATCAATAAGAATCAATTTTTGTTTGTTATTCTTGCTGAGTGTGGTTTTTTAAATCATTTTATAAAGCTCACGGCTAAATTTGGACCACTTCGCATAATTTAAGAGCAAATTTGACCCTTTTTATCTTTTGTAAAAATATTCATATGCTGGAAAATATTTGCCGTTAATCAATAAAGGCAAATCTAGCTTAATTTTTACTCCCTACGTCTCATATTACCGGTCGTAGTTATTAAAAATAGCTGTCTCAAATTATTTGTCATTTTAGAAGTTTAAAACAAATTGATTATTTTTTTTCTTTTTTACCCTTAATAATAATTATTCCTAAAGACTACATACACCTTAATTATGGTTAACTTTGTTCAAATACCAATGAAGAAAGATTACATATTAAGATATGAATAAAGGTAAAGTAGTCAAAATCTCATTCTAATTAATTTTTCTTAACACTCTGTTTGGATCATTGCTCCCCATCGTCTTATAATGTATTGTATTGTATTGTATTGTATTGTATTGTTTTATGAATACAATGTTTGGATAGATTATATTGTTTGTTATTGTTAAATAATATTTTGCTGTTCAGTTTGACTATATCGTACTGTACTGTAATTGATAAATTTACTAAAATACTCCTCAATTATTTAAATATTAAATTTATCAAAAATTATGTATAAAAATAATTTAAAACACAAGAAATTAAAACACCTTAAGAAAGCAGAACAAATGAGCGAGACAAAAGAAGGCAAAACAAAGGAGCACATCTAGTTAGAATTGAGTTAAAAGCAAATTAAAAGAAAAAATAAAAAAGAAGGCGACAAAACACTTTTAACGTTGGCGGCAAAAGTTTTGAAAAAAAACAAATTAGGGTATAGGTTGGAGATTTGGAGTTAAAATAGAAAAAGATGTAAAGGATAAAATAGAATTGTGGAGTAATAAGTTAGGACATAATTGGAAAGAAAAATAGAAAACAATCTCACCACACCAAATCGATTGTTTCAAAAAGGAAGACTTTTCATTGTTCCGAAACAATGAATTTAATAATACAATACAATCAATTTTAATGAAACAATCAAAACAAACATTGTTTTGAAATAACAATACAATACGATACAACGGGGAACAACCATCCAAACAAGCTGCAAGGAAAGTGTACAAAAGAATCATGATAAATAATACATGGCCGAGGTTTGACCGAACTATTAATTAGTCAGTACAAATCTAAATTATTCAAAGTTCAAAAAACAAATTTAGACCTTTTCTCTTTCTTTTAAAATGTAATTCCAAGTTGAATTATACTAGATTATCATATGAATCCTTATTTTGCTTTTATAGATTACTAGAGTACGAGATCTTCTCGGAAAAAAATAAAATACACTCAACTTGTAAGTCATCATTCCAACTCCACTCAATCACACCAATAACAATATTCTTGTGCTCCCCTTCAATCACAAAATTAGAATACTAAAATATTAATTACCACCATAGGTTGTAGTAGGCGGTGTTCTACTTCATACTCCTCTACACACTTTATATTGAGGAATTAACTCAAATAGTCACTGACNATATATATATATATAATCATATATAATTAATATATAATCTATATATATGACTACAGAAATAAAGATCCATTTTAGATTTAAGTTCTAAACATAGAATCAACTTTAATAAATAGCACTTTAATTCATAATATTGATCGGGCCCCAAAGCCAAAGTGAATATTACTCCATCCGGTCCACCATAAGTGATCTTTTGGCCTCTTTATTTTGGTCAAATTAGTTGTCCTTTTATATGATCAAGGAAGAATTAATTTTATTTTTCTAAAATTTTCCCTTATTTACATATCCCAAAATGTTAAGTTAATAATATATAAATTTTAATTAAGGGATAATTTAGTCAAAATATATTTTTTTCTCTAGGAGTTAATATTTTCTTGAGGTGTGTTGCCAAATATCAAAAAGTCGTTTATTATGAACCGGAAAGGGTATCAATTAAGAAACAAAAAATGCTAATTTGGTTCTTGACGAGGTATCAAAATGGTTAAAAGGAAACAATTAACCACCCATATTATCCACTAAAAAATGTGTTGAATAATAAACTTTTTTAAAACGGGTCAAATATGGGCAAGAACCATATTATCCATTAAGAAAATGGATAACCAATGAGTCTAACTTTTATATTTATAAAACCTCAAATTGGAGGTTCCTCAATTTAGGGAGACTAAGAATTTTCCCTAAAGTGATCATATGGAAGAAGTTACGGATAATATGATTACTCATATTATTCGCCGGTTAACCCATTTTTTTATCCGTATTAAATATGAATCGAATCGGATAATTTATTAATTATCTTTTTTAACCCGAACCATATTCGATCAGAACCGCTCTTATGCAACTCCCAGTTCTTGTAGTCGAAACTTCCTATTTTATTCTCTTTTTTTTTTTTTTTTTTTTTTTTTTTTTTTTTTTTTTTGGGATCTTCATACTCCATGTTGCCATGTGACAAAAAAGAAAAAAATTATCTGTAAACTCATGAAAAGGGAAAATAAATAATAAATAAATTATTAATAAAACCCAATGACCGAAAAAAGAAAAAGAAAAAAGAGGATCTATTTGTAATCCAGCCGTTATCCAACTCATTCTCTTTCTGACGGTGTCGGCCATCTCCCCCTCCTTTTAACACCTTCGTTCCACCTCCACCTCTCAATTCTCCGGCCGATCAATTTCTCCTAATTCAGATCCCTGAATTTCACTTCTCCGATCTCTCCACAGATCCGATTTAGAGTCACATCCGAATCGGATCCGGGTAAAAAATGTCATCATCACGTCGTCTCCGAGATCTTCAAGCCCAACCCGGTAACAAGATCTGCGTCGATTGCTCCCAAAAGAATCCTCAATGGGCTTCAGTTTCCTACGGCGTTTTCATGTGCTTAGAATGCTCCGGCAAACACCGTGGGCTCGGAGTCCATATCTCGTTTGTCCGATCCGTTACCATGGACTCATGGTCCGAGATCCAGATCCGAAAAATGGAGCTCGGCGGTAACGACAGTTTAAACAAATTCATGGCCCAATATGGAATCCCTAAAGAAACTGATATTGTAACTAAATACAATACAAAAGCTGCTTCTGTTTATCGTGATAGGATTCAATCCCTAGCTGAAGGTAAACCCTGGCGGGACCCACCTGTCGTTAAAGAAGCTCTAAATGGGCCCACTAGTAATAATACTAGCAGTAGAACACCGTTGAGCCGCGGGGCAAGTGGGGGTGGCGGCGGCAGTTGGGATAGTTGGGATAATAATGATGATGGAGGATTTAGTGGTAGTGGTAAGAATAATGTGAGGAGAAATCAGACTGTGGGGGATTTTAGGAGTGGGGGTAGTGGGAGTAGTGCTCCAGCTAGGTCAAGATCGACGGCAGATATTACTAAGGAGCAGTATGAGGCGTCCGCCGCTAATAAAGATAGCTTTTTTGCGAGGAAAATGGCAGAGAATGAGTCCCGGCCTGACGGGCTTCCGCCCTCTCAAGGAGGGAAGTATGTGGGGTTTGGATCAAGCCCTGCTCCAATGCCTAGTAGGAATAACATTAATCAGCAAGGAGATGTTCTTTCTGCTGTTACTCAGGTTGAATGCCTTCCCTTGCATTTTACATGATGTTATTTGATTGTACACAGATTTGATATTTTAGTTTAGCTTATATATTATGTTAGTGATAGCTGAAATAAAAGTGTGAGTAGTTAATGAATTTGAACGTGAAAGCTGTATAAAATTTGTCGGAACATTTTGAGATATTCCAAAAAGGAATGAGTGCCATATAAATTGGGATGTAGGAAGGGCTATGTAAGCTGTTCTGTTGTGCTATGATATGCTTACTTATTGATAGCTGATGGAGTTGCTGTTTGGTATGTGTAGGGATTTGGTAGGTTATCTATGATAGCTGCCTCGGCAGCACAGTCAGCTGCAAGTGTGGTTCAAGTGGGGACAAAGGAGTTGACTTCTAAGGTATTTTGATTTGACTTCTAGATTAATAGTTAATGATTCTGTAATTGTTTACTTTGGATATGCTTTTTTGTTTTTAATTCTCTAGAGATATCTCTTGATTCTTATCACATACTACTTTAAAATTCATCCCTTTTCAAGTCTATTTACTAGGTAATGTCCTGAAGGTACGAGGAAGTATACTGAGGGCACTAGGAAGAATGGTGCCTTCAATAATACTCGCTGAGCTTTGTAATGTGTTCAATTATATTTTCGTTGTCTTTTGGACATCCTTTTGATTCCTTTAAGCACTCCTAATATTTTGAGGTTAGTTCATTTAGTTGGTTGGATCAAGTTTGATGTTATGCTATACTTGTTGAGGTAGTATTCTAAGGAAGTGAATGTTGGACATGTAGGACCAAGATTTTTAATCTTGTATAATCATATGCATTCTACAACATGCTCATCAATATATATATATATATATATAAAATCAAATATGATATAGAGGCCAAGTAGCACATAATAGAGGATAAAGTGAGGAGGAAGTCGCCCCAGAACAACTTTTGTACATTAGAATTGTAACTCATTTTCTCTTAAAAGTTCTGCTATATGCTGAAGAAAAAGACGCAGAAGCAGAAAAAGTTGCAAGCTAATTGCAGTGTTGCCAAAGGCGCGCTTAAGCCCTAAAGCGAGGCTCAAAACATGTTGAGCGCTTCTCCTCGCTTAGTGGACGCTTCAGTGTTGTCATTAATGCTCTAAGGCTTACTTTTCCTTGCCAATGAGCGTAATCCTGGAGAAAAAAACCTAAACAATTGATATTTTACTTTATTGGATTGCATATGCATATTTATATTTTTTTCTCCATTTGTGCCTTTCTTCAATAAAGCCCACACTTTCCTTGCGCTTAAAGCCCCGATGTGCCTTAGAGGCTGGTTGCGCTTTTCGCCTTTGATAACACTGACTATTTGGTAGAGTGACACAATTCTCTGATTTTTTTTAAAATGTCGTAAATTTAAAAAAGGACAAGATTAGGTCAATATCAGACTTGAATAACGCGTGTTGTTAGAGTTATATATGACTCTCATATATGATCTCGAATTTCTTCTAACTTTTTAGGGTAGGGACTTGCGAATGAATGGTGAAGGGAATGGTTTTCATTGTGGTAAAGGTGGTATCTTACTTTAAGTGATAGTCATTTGATTTACAAAGGTTTCTGATGTAGGACAAGAGGAAGGATTCACTGGCCTTCTAGTGGATTGTTGCAAATGTTGTGTGATTTCTTCTAGTGGATTGTTGCAAGTGTTGTGTGATTTGTGGCCACACGTTTTGGAAATTTTATGGACATTAAAGCAATGGAGAAAGATGGGTAATAATTTTATTACTAAAAATATGATGATGGGTAATGGTTGTAATATAGGGCTGTTCAAGGGGCATCCAAGGGTGTGACTTAGTGGTCAATGAAGTTGATGCAAACTTTGGAGATTGGGGTTCAAATCCCAACTTTAGACAAGCTTTAGACAAAACTACTAGGTGATTGCTTCCTACCTACCAAAGCTTAGGCGGGAAGATTTACCAAGTACTTGTGTTGGGTAGGAATTAACAGGTACCCAAGGTTGCACACAAGTTGGCCTAAACACCAATGTTATGAAAAATGTGGGATGAGGCATGTGACCAAGAGTCCAAAAACAGCGTATGTGAGAATCTCCATGGCATACTTTGAGGTTGTTTCAATGTGAATCTTGATGAGTAATAAATAATATGGAACTGAAAGAGTACAATTAACGAGAAGAGAAGACCACTGGGGTATTGGTCTTGTCGCAAGAGCGTAACGCGTGATGTGGGGATTATGATGCACGTAATGAGTTTGAACCCTGTCATGGACCGAAGGATGGTATTTTAGTCAAAAGGGTAGAGTGGCGGGCCCATTATGCATCGTGTTTCGTATTGTGCGCCACTGACCCTCAAGTATTTCTTTGGTTATCGAAAAGAAAAATGTATGAAAAGAGAAGTATCCCACCAGAGAGCTCTTTGAATCCAGTGTGGAGTTCCCTAAGAATAACCCTTTGAGATACTATTACAGAATATACCAAATGAGCAGCTAAAGCTTCAACTCGGAAAAAAAAAACCTCGAATAAAGTAATCCTCTGCTGCTAAGCGAAGATACTATAGCTATTACATGTGAGAGCTTTCACTTCCTTAAAGGATTACCTAGAAGATTGTTACCATTGACCCAGAAAGAAAGAAAGAAAGAGAAATAAGATTTAAAATTATCTCTCATCTAGCAACCTTTAGACCTTTTTGAAGAAGTTTCTGCTAGCTACATAATTACTTCCACTGTAAATTTGTATTTGGGTTGAGAAACTTGCATATATAATTTTTTTTTTAAAAAAGCAACTTCATTGATATTTTTAATGATTTGCTCTTTCTGAAGTGTGGGGCAAAAAGATTACTTCTAGGAATAAATATTTCTATAACCTCTATGTTAGGACTGGAACTATATATGTATATCAGAACAAGATCAAATAAGATAACACTAGATCAGCTAAGTTGATGCATAGCAAATTTATAGCCTGGTTGGCCAAGCTTCTTTTGAGCCAAAAGCACTTTTTTTTTGTTGGCCAAAAGC